TGTGTGTGTGTGTGTGTGTGTGTTTTGTGTGGATGTTTGTAGCTGTTTTGCCATTATTTAACAGTTCAAATGTCAACACAACACACGTCAGTGAGGGCAGTTATTCAAGGGTTCAGATGGGTTTGTGGTGTCTTGGAAGAAGCTGTCACATTATGAAGTGTTTACTGCCCCCTGTGGCTGTTTAATGTCATTGCATTTGGACATTTGAAGTGTTTCTACTTGCAGAGAAATGAAGATTTAATTCAAGTGTTTCAAGCAAAGTAAGAGCACAAATACTTTCATTTTCCATGTCACTTTATTACTAACTAGTGTAGTCCTCTCATATTAGAGCCACCTGTCCAGAAGGTAACTAGGTGGCAGTAGGGACGCAGTTCCATCGATACTTCAGACCCCCTTTGTGCCACAGTTAAGCAGCAGGTTAATAATATTATATAAATAGCAACATGTGATACAAATGTTGAGTTGCAAGTCATGTTAAGAACATTTACACACGACGGTCCTGATAGAAAAACGATCCTTTAAAATCCAGTGCCAGTCTCCATCCAGATAACAGCTGAGTAAATACAGAGCAGTGTTTCCCCTAACATTTTATATATATTTTTTTTTTAAAGATTTTTTTGGGGGCTTTTTGTACCTTTATTGTAGAGATAGGATAACAGTTAGAGTCAGAAATCAGGGAAAGAAGTCATTTAAGGATACCTTTCCGATAGAAAAGGACAGCTGTCATTAAAAGTAACGCAACCAAGATTCCTTCAAGTCGCCGTGTCGGCTTGTCCCCCCCCAACGCTGTAAACCCAGGGGAAACACTGCAGAGTCAAACACATTATTGACCTTTTCAGCTTTCGTAAAAGGCAGAACAACGGCTACAGTGCAGATCAGAGCACGACCCCGATCGTCATTTCAGTGTGATAGTCATTTCTTTTAAAACCATTTTGATGCTATTGCATGGCATTCAGAGAAGCCTTCAAGTATTTAAAACCTGGGCCATGTTTTGTACACATATTTGGGTCTACAGGCGTCATTTGAAAGGGAAAATATCCCCTAAAAGTTCTTATTTATGATCCAACAAGGACCAATGGTCAACGATCTCCTTGGTGTGTCAGGGCCTTTACAATGATTCCTGGTCAGAATAAGTATTTTAGCTGAAGACAAAAACAATATTTCTCTATAGGGATCCTTTCTTTAGGCTCTCACAGTGGACGCACTTCGATTTGGCCCAGATTATGTTTCCGCCTTTACAGCATGGCTTCAGATTTAAGTAATTTACTCCAGCTGTTCCAAAACCTTTTTAACCTTTCGTCTTTAAAAACCCAAAATCTGTAGAAATGATGCCCAAGGTCAAAAATACTTCAAAGTCCCCTCAAAATTCATTTCATGGAGCAAAAGTTAACAGTTAATGTTCAGAATGAAAACTGATTTTAGATACAAAATCAAATCTATTTAAAAGAGCAACATAACATCAAATAGTGTTATTTTCTTGTCAATCACCCGGCTTGTCCAGATCCTGTAACATCGGATACAGGGACGCCTTCGCCTTCATCTTTGATAGCAAGAACAATTAAGACTCAACATGTCAAAAACCTGAAGTCCATGGACAGAATCATAACAGTGCAGTTAAACAGCTACATTACAGGGCGACGGGCCTGTATCCCTGGTATTACCGAGTACATGTCTTTGAAATACGAGGATTATTCAGTCATTAGCGTTAAATAAAAGATGGGAAATCCTTTCCAAAACAAAATCAAACATTCTGCGGCCTTTAGCAGAACTAAATCTGCGTATCAGTGACGGCTTCTCTTCCATTAAAAAAACACTTTTTAAATATAGGAACAGCAATTTGAGGCCAAAAGGGCAACACCTCGTCAGTACTTTTAACGACAGTTGCTAAAATAGAACAAAGACATAACAGTGTGCAATCACGTGCATCCCTGCCTCTCAATCTGCCCGTGCTGAGGCACACAGTCCGCTACGATACACCTCTTTGCGATTATGTGAAAACATGTATTTTATTCAGTGTTAATCGTTTTAGTTCAGTAAAAAGTCTGGACTGGGGTAACCGAAGAGGTGGAAGTCACCCTGGTAGCGTGCGTAAAGACGTCTGATGTCCCGCTTGCTGATGCCTGAGAAGTACTGCTCCACCTTGGTCCTGTTGTAGCGGGTGATGCCTGGAGGGATGGCCGGGTAGGACACAAGCTGGTCGATGCCAGCCGCTCTGAGGATGTACGGGGCGTCCTCCTCCAGCGTCTCATGGTGACCCACCACGCTGTAGTGGATTTCACAAGGCGCACACAAGTCTGCGTAAGTCACCCAGTGAATAATGTGCTCGCCAAACTGTCGGTCCATGCGCTGGCGGCCTTCCACGTCGCCCAAGTAACGCACAAAGTCCTCAAAGTGAAGGCCGGAGGCGGCTTGGTCACTGTCACGGTGGCTCTTTCTGTACTTACGGATGATGGCTGGAGCGATGTCGTGCTTGTACCAAGGCTCAAAGCGAGGGTTCTTCACAAACTTGTCCTTGAAGGCAGAAATGAGGCGCTCAAACGGATCCCTCACGATGAGAAACTTAAAGTAGGTGCTTAATCTGTTGGGGGAACACCAGAGTTTTAACACGTTTTGGAAAGGAATCATCCTTTTGTATCGCAGTCATTCACATAGCTTTCTCAACCTTGGACCAAAGTTCCCGTTCTATCAGCAATTCTCAACCACATCAGCGGACACCACTAGCTCAATTTTAGAATCTACCCGGACAAAACGAGGCTGTGATTATCAAAACAACTGTTCAATGGATGCAAGAGATTACAAACATACCAGTACAAAAAACTTTTTATAACCGAGACCTCCAAAAACAGACGGCGTCTTATACACGGTAAGTAGGTTTAACAACTCTCCTCTAACTAACCTGTGAGTGATTTCCTGCGGCTTCAGAGATGAGAGTCGGGGCAGGCCATTCTTCTCATGGTCATGAACGAGGTTTTCTGGGATCTCCTCCACCGAGGGGAACCCTCCTACCAATGTCAAAAAAACCAGTTAATTAAACCTTGTATCAGGGAGAACATGCAGCAGAGAGTTTTACAAAGGCGCGATTTCTATTCAATGGTGTTGTGCCCATGTGAGTAGAGCTAACTAGATTGTAAACATGTGCACTGTAATTCATTCGACGTCCATGTTTTACCATTGAGCACAATGAGGACCTTCTTCCATTGCGTGTTGCCCACTTTGGGCGTCTGGCAGAACAAGATCTTCTGCTTGTCGCACACAAAGATGCGGTCCAGGACGAACTTGCCGATGGAGACGTGAGTCAAATTCCTGAGGCTGCTGTTCCTGCACACGGCTGACAGCGACTCGACTCGTCTCTCTGCGACCGCCTGCCAGTCCGCCGCTGTGGGTCCCGCTGACGGCTGAGACAAACACGCAGCGTTAACGTCACTGACAGTGGTGCACACACTTTCACACATGGAGGGGAAGTGAAGGGCTCATCTGTGATAATCACCTGATCAGACGGCTTTGGCTTCTTTTCTATGATAGACGCAGGGTTGGGTTTAACCAGCTTGGTTCCTGGCACCGTCCAACTCTGACCACCAACCCTCTCTCCATAGTCTGAAAACACATGTGCAGCGTTTTAATGACGACATTTATGAAAATCCCACTGGGGGTGGGTGTGTGTGTGTGTGTGTGTGTGTGTGTACTCAGCTCACCATCGATGGCCCTGAAGCTGATGAACTTGCTGACAAACATGAGGATGAGCAGCACCCAGCCGCAAGCCCCGAGGAGCAGCCAGTGGTGCCGCATCGCTCCGCCCATCAGCCGACGGCCATGGAACCAGAGAGCGGTGTTCCCACCTGGATGAACACACACATTAAACACTGTTTAAGCACATTAAAACCCACCTGTACCACCCAAAATATCGGGAGGTGTAACCTTTATTAGCTCCTAAATGGACGTTGTAATAGAAGTCTTCTTGTTAGTTATGTTAAGGACGTGAAACACCTGAACTACAAGTAGAAACTGTGAACTGAGTCAGGCTAGTTAGCCAGCTAGTTAGCCACTTAGCCACACCTGTCCCGCCCAGACACTTTAAATAAAAGTCTAATTCAGTTAGGTTAATAAAATATGTCAACGCCCACACGGTCACATTACAGTCCATTATCTTACCTGCTTTTGGAGTGACAGCTACTTGAAAGCAGCACAAGCCGTGGAGTGAATGTTGGACGGTGACATCGCGTCGGTGCAGCGTCCCTGTTCTTCACAACATCCGGCAGCGGTCAACTCGACCGAGCAGCTCCCCCTAGCGGCGGGCAGCGGGAACTGCTGCTGGGCCACCAGGTTGACGAACGACGAGTTGTTGCATTACCGCCACCTGCTGGTATGGAGTGTGGGTCAGGCTGTCTAATCAAGGGTCTAATGTGTCAGTCACATAGTTAACACTTGATTTGTAGTTTTTATTTGTAAGCAAACAGAAAATCAGTGTCCACGTGTGTCTTCAGTCGACAAAATACTTCTATTGTCTTTGCTGCTCCTTATTTTTCTCTTCACAGTATAGAAGATGCTTTATTGTTTTGTCCACAGTAGCTTCCAAGTGATCTACATAACCTTCTACAATTCACTTAGCAGACGCTTTTATCCAAAGCGACGTACATCAGAGAGTAAGTACAACACAAGCAAGGATCTAGAAAAAAAAAAGGAACAATGTCAGTAAGAGCAAACGATCAGCTTTGAGTCTGATTGGACACACAGGTGCTGACAGGAAGTGACCAGAGGCAAAGCACAACATTAAGGGCAGTTCTTGAGAGCTCTAATCAGTATAGGAACCATCTTATAAGTCGTCGTTATCAAACAAAAACAATAATATCATCAATAATATGGAGACCATCATCATTAAGTTAGTAGGTATTCATGAAAGAGCTGGGTCTTTCGCTTTTTCTTAAAGGTGCAGAGGGACTCTGCAGATCACATGGAGTTTGGAAGTTCATTCCACCACCGGGGGGCGACAGAGAAGAGTCTAGTCAGCGTCTCAGGACCCTGACGTGACTAAACCACTGAGCCACCAGTGTCCCTCATTGAACCTTCTTTATAATAGTTTATGATTGTTCATCAGTTTGTTTGCATTTCTGTTTATATTAATTAACGCTGGTCACTTGTTTTTAATTGTGAAATGCAGGAACAACAGGAACAACAGGACACATGAACACTTCAGTGACGTGCACAAACAGAAATAAAGACAGAAGACAGAGGTCCTTTTATTTTTTATTTATTCCACTCGCAGAGGGAACAAATTTAGTTTTCATCAACATTGACTGTCTGCAGACCTGTTGGGAAGAAAAAAAAGGACATATTAGTGACAAACTCTTTATTGCTTCAGAAGACAAAGTGGGTCACTTCAGTGTATTTTTATTTACCTTTGCATGTCGTGACAGGAACGTATGTGACCAGGGTGTACAGTTTGTTGGGGGAGTCCTCGTCCTCATTACGCTTCCTGGACAGCCGAACGCGTACCCTGTACGGCACGTTCCTGCACGACACAAACATCACGTAGTTACTATCTTTGCTCAATGCAAATTTGATTTAAAGAAGCAATTAGAACTGACCAGAAAATGAAACTCTGCTCCAATTTCAGGTACATGTAAGAGCATAATCAAAGACATGTCCCACGAGTGTCAAGTGACTTTTAACACAATGAATCTATGAGGCGCATTGATAATGTAAAACTTGAAGCTTTGTGATATGCAATTCTGAGCTAAAAGTGTGCCACAGCATCAGTATGGATGACAAGCATATCAGCGAAAGCTCTATAACCTACGTTTTAAAAAAGCTCAAATTCTGGATATCTGTTCTGTGAAGGTGAAATTAAATGTTTCCAGTGATTTGAAAACACAGCTTGTCACCATTATCTTCCGGCCTTTTCTTCCCGGGACACATGGAATCAGAAGAAGAGTGACTCAACACAATGATATTTTATCAATCCTGCCAATTGCGCTACATATTTGTTAAGCACAGCATTCAGAGTTATTCAATTTCTATAAAACTATCACGTAAGCAATTTGAATTTTCTATGTGAGCCAACGACAAACCTCCATACACACACCTCCACTCACAGCAGCTTCCTGCCTCGACTCATTCTGCAGTTCTTTTTTTTTTTTTTTGTTAGTGTGCGTCTGCTGACAATATCCTTCAGCCGCTCATTAACGATGTTCAAATATCATCGTAATTGTTTCACCCAATATTCAGCGGTCACATCAGAGGACCCAGGTGTGTGGTTGTATATATTGACGATGAGGTGCATTTACGACGAGCATTTTATACTCAGCAGAGCAGCTGCAGGGAAATATTGAAACGATGGCAAAACAAGCTTCAGTGTTCGCATGACGTCGCACATCAGTCAGGAGTGTTTGCTCAAGGGATCACCTGTTGATCTCCCTCTTTTTCTTGCAATTTCCCCCCAGATAAATAAAAATAAATAAATCAGACAACATACCTGGACACACTGAACATATTTTGATACCAATATAAACCAACCACAAAACAGAAATCAAAGCGGGTAGTAGAACATTATTGACAGCAGCTGACGTGGTGCACCAATCCAACAGCTGACTGTCAGCTCTGAATCATTCTGACAACATTACACCATCAGTGACTTTAATCTCACCTGACGCCCTTGCTCCACACGGCCTTGTTGAGGCGAGTGTCGATGCGCACATCTGGAGTTCCCATCTCCTTCACGGCGAACTTGCGGATCTCCTTGATGGCACGGGGAGCCCTCTTCTTGAAGCTCCTGCAGGGGGAATTCAAAACTCACTGTTACCTTTCCTCCATTTGTATTTGATTTGAAATGTTTCGACACTGAATCACATCTAAATGCTCTTTTTTTTTTTACATTTGTTGCGTGCAAAAGTTACGTCGCAACGTCAAACCAACCATGTGACTTGAGGCAAGTCATGAAAGAAGAACAGCTTCTCTATCACTTCAGAAAAGTCTATTATCGCCTTCAGGTGTTTTGCATACACACACAGTTTAGTTAAAATCTACAGGAGACTCCGGGTCCATCGAGAAGCCACGACTTGTTTTCAGAATTCCTTCACCTCCACATGTTAAGCGGACTAATGTGACAAGAGTCAGTGAGAGGCAAAGCATGGCCATCCATCCTGTGTCGCAGTCTGAGCGGGAGGTTAATCGAGTATGTTGTGATAAAGGGAAAGAGTTGCAACTTTTCTGTTTGATGCAACAACAACAACAACAAAAAAGAAAACCTGCCAGTTGTCCGACAACTAATTAACTATAAATCCTGTCTGACATCACCTTGTGTGTCCCATGTAAAATGTAGACGCTGATGTGGTCACTGGCAAGATGCTCAAAGCAGGTGTTCATTTACATACAGCAAAAAGAAAAGGAGTATTCCAGTGAGCAGGTATCAGCTCATGATAGTGTTAATGAAGTGGATGTGTTGCTGATTTGTTACTTTTAGTAGCCGCAGCTGATGTTTGATTCATAATAAATCACAGAGAGAAGCTCGATCAGTGTTCTCTGATGTTCTCCAGCTCTAGCTTCAGGTTTCAACATGTGCCACAGTCAAAAGTAAGAAACAACAACAACCAGAAACTGAGCTGAAGTCGCTCCCGCAGTCACACTTCTCAGTACTCACACTCCGTGGATGCGTTTGTGTACATTGATGGTGTACTCTCTGGTCACAACCTCGTTGATGGCTGAACGCCCCTTCTTTTTCTCTCCTTTCTTAGTCGGGGCCATCTAGAAAACAAAGACAGGTGAAGTTACTGCAGACGCGTTCAGCTCTCACATGCACAAAACCCGCCTCCTAACATGGTTGTTAACTCAAAAACTACAGCTTTGACTGCTGGAAATGACACATGCGGGTAGATTTAGCAGTAGAAACATTTCCTGGTGCTGTTTGTAATTAAATATGGTGTTTTTAAGTCTCACTAGCTACGACTAAACGTGCCCTGAGCAGCCGGGCGACGCAGCGACCATCCCGGGTCCGTCAATGCTACCACTCGCCGCTTTAAAATATGTCTCCAATCACGTTAAAACACATCAAAAAGCACACAAAAAGCACCAGCACACTCTGATAAATGTGTTACGAAGACAAAATTGTCAAATAGGGGCTTTGAAATCGAAGGATTGCGTTAGATTGTAGGATCGTAATTCCCGAAAAAGAATTCTCACCTCAGCTCGTAATTGAGGCGGAAGTCGGAAGGACGGAATCAAAGCAGAGGATTGTGGGTAAAGGAAGCCGGTCCGTTTTATAGAATGTTCGTCGACAACAAATGTGCGACTAATGGTTCCTAGAATTGTTCTCTCACAGAAACTACAGCCTTGTAAACTGAATGAAATAATGACTTCTGAGTTAAGTTGTCGAAATGTCATTGGGAAGTCCTCCTACACTGGAAACTGGCCTTACACTGGAAACGCTTTTTTTTGTGCCTTTATTGGAGATATAGGACAGTGGATCGTCGGAAATCAGGGAGAGAGAGTGGGGAATGACATGCAGGAAAGGAGCCACAGGTTGGACTCGAACCCGGGCCGCCCACCCGGAGGACCACTGCACCACCAGCGCCCCTTTAAGTCATGCTTAGTCTGTAAATTTTCTTGATTTTCTTAATCAACAGCCAGACTTTGATTATGCATTAAGATGGGGGGAAACTTAAATATCAAAAAGAATAAACCGTAATTTATCTCATTATGTCTTTGTTCTGCTTTCTTATGAAACTTGTCATCGTATTTAATATGAAATTATGTATTTCCTTTAAGAGAAATTAGGACTTTCTGCTTGCAAAATTTCCGTTAAGTTTGGATGTAGCATGAATAATTTATGCCCGTTTCAACTTCTGCACTTACCTCAAAATGCATCTGGTGACTCCGATCATCACGATAAACAAGCACTTAATTTGAATTTCTCCTTGTCCCGAGGTACTCCTAATCCGGCAAAATATCTTCACAATTAGAAAGGATCATTTTACATTTATTTTGCAGTAAAAAAAAAAAAAATACAGCATTAAACCTGATCTCACACCTTAAAGTTGACACTGAATGTCAGACAAAATAAATAAGATGTACGAAATTGTTCCCCAAACTGGAGTTGTGGTCAGATTAAAGGATATCGAGCTTTATCAGAGCCCAGAGTCTCTTAGATTTAAAGTTATTGATGCATGGGTGGGTGGATGTATGATGAATCCATGGACTCTTTAGATTTCAGACATTTTCCTCCATTCTAATGTTCCTTAAGCTGGTTTGTCCATTGCATTCATGTCCAACAGCATGC